CGATACCGTTATCAAACGGATAGCTCATTGTTCCGTTCTCTATATCCTGTATCGTTATACTTAAACTTGACTGTTATGATGGACAACATATTATTATTAGCTTTAAAGTCATGATTGATGCAATCAATTATATATTGATTAATTATCGATGATTTAAATTTCTGTCGATGTGTAGACGATAGACGCAGCATTGTCTAGAATAGATAGTTGCTGTTGTCACAGTTAATTCTCAGTTAACCTGACTTCAACGTCCATCTCAATGAGGAGGAGGAGAAGGAGGACGGGGATATTTACAAGTGAACAATGTCTTACTGTGAATCGTAACCAAAAAAGGAGAACATCCATAAAATCATAAACACATCGTTACAAGATAACTGGTGACGGAATGACTCATTTCAGTGCCGCCAACTCACTCACTGTAGTACTCCAATATGGATAAGAATTTATTTTGATAAAATCACACACTGTTGTTGTAAAATCAATTCAATTCCCATCCTTGAATCAAGTCAACTTGTCCCGGATCAACCTAGCGTTGTTGCAACCCAATTATCCATGCCCAACGTGTCTATCCCACCTTGTTTAATTAACTGTGTGTGTGTGTTTCTTACATCGATCCGTTTAGTCAGACCGTTGAACTCATGACCCAATCAGAGTATTTTTGTGAACTGTTATTTTGCTGACCCATGTTTTACTTTGTACTATTCTGTCGAGTTTATCTTATTTATTGATTGGTTAAGTAGCCAATTAAATTCTATCTTTGTGCCTATGCTCTGTCTATCTCTTAACCGCTCTCCGTTCTATGCCCTGCCTTACTTGGGTTCATTCTTCTGCTGACTGCTTACCTGAACGGTCATGTCTGATTCCGGCTAGTTCGCAATTTTGTCTTTAACGTTATTCCTCTCTGATAGCGGTACTTTGCTTTCTGTTAAGCATTGTGCTTTGTACTCTTGAAACCTTTAAGGTTTGTTGTATATATATAATTATTGATTTGTTCATTAATAGTACCGTAGAAACAGTGACCGGCTTCTTGTTTGTTCTGGACCGAGATAGCCTTTATCTACGCGTAAATTAATTTCAAACGATATTGCGCTTACAGTTGTTATGCCGTTAGTTATATTTACTGATGACCATGCTTCCAGCCCAATTTATTACTGCTCATAATTATATCAAGGCACTCACTGACTCACACAACTTTCTTGCTTCATTTATATACATGAGTGAAATTGATGATTAGACATTTGAATGAAAATCAATATGGGTTAATGTATATTCAGAAATAATATGACAACAGTAATGGTGAAACTAGTAATGATAACAGAAATAAGAAAAAATATAAGGCATCTACAGATTTACTATATAAGCAGGGGACATCTGAAACCCTACGTGGGATTCACAACAAAGCAGGAATCAGGGTGATGGCATTCAAACATACAAACTCATTCAAACTGGACAAGATCTGTCGGCTAAAAAACGCTGTCGGTTGACCCAATTCAACTAAATAATATAATTTACAAAATACCTTGCAATGACTGTGAATGTGGTTGACTACATAGGCCAGTCCAACTAGTAGATCGGGGAGGAGGGGGGGTTGTCAGATTGTCAGAACATAAGAATTTAGCTAAGATTAGAATGAAGATAAGTAATTTAGAAAAAGAAACTCAGCTATAACACTCCATGCAATAACACACAATCGCACACAATAGGGTGGATGAGACAGAGTCGAAATTCTAAAAGGTAATATAAGGAGGTGGGGAGAGAGGTTGATTACTGAATCCTGGCTGGTTCATCGAATCTACACCCAACACATACAATAGGAATGACTCAATGCAAATACCAGAGATATGTATGGAAGATGTTATTACCACCAATCACTCAAATCAGAGGAGGATAATAAATAATACTGTTAAAATGCATTCAATTCACATCATAACATTCTAACAAGTTATTTACTTATTTAAAATACGGAAGCATCTTATTTCTCATCTGATTCTATTTGACTGATAACATCAATATTATTTCCAAATGTACTTTATCTTATTATATTGATTTTATTTATCAAATGTCTAATCATCAATATTTTTTTTCTCATGAAGCAAGGAAGTTTTGTAACTTGTTGTGGTATGTGATTATGAGCGGTAATAAATTATGCTGGAAGCGTGGTTATCACTGTATAACACTGTGAGACTCTGTCAAAATAAAATCTTATCCATACTAAACTTATAATCTACCATCACAGGAGTAAGACAAGGTTGCCTACTATCGCCAATGATTTTCCTGATTGCAGTAGACTGGATAATGTGACAAACAGCGGGCAATGAGGAAACAGGCGTAAAATGGACTCACACAAAAAACCAACTTGGAGGATCTGGACTTCGCCGATGATATATGTCTGATTTCCCACAAACTGGAAGATATGCAAGGGAAAAGCAACAAGTTGGCAGAATAAGCAGCAAAGATAGGACTTCCTTCAGGTGAACATAGATAAAACAGAAGTGATGAATATTCCTGGACAAGAACAACAACAACAGACAACAATAACAACAACAGAAAACGATCAGCATAAATGGAAGGAACCTGAAAGAAACAACCTCCTCTACCACCTGCCTGGGAAGCATCGTTTCAACTACAGGCACACGGAACTGACGACGATATCACAGCAAGAATCGGAAAAGCAAGAAAAGCTGTCACTATTCTCAAGTCTGCGTGGATATCAACAGCACTACTCAACATCAAAAATAACATCCGGATTTTCAACTCCAATGTGAAGTCAGTCAGTGCTACTCACTATACGGATCAGAGACTTGCACTGCGCGTCATAAAGAGCACCTCAAACAAACTACAGACCTTCATCAACATTTGTTTTCGCTCAATACCACTCAAGATCAGATGGCCGGCCAGGAAAGATCAGCAACAGAGATCTCTGCCAATGAGCGAACCAACCGAGCAGGAACCGATTGTGCAACAAATATGCAGGAAGAAATAGAGATAGATTGGCTGGGCATACTCCGAGGAAACCATCAAGTGACATCACCAGACAAGCCATTGCTCGAGTGGAACCCGAAAGGGAAGCGGTGATTTGATCGTCAGTGGAAGGGTGACTTGGAGGAGGTGATGTGAAGAGGAGATGAAAGTGTGTGCACAGACATGGAGCCATGTGAAGACTCTAGCAGAGAACCGAACGGAATGGAGACTCGTGGCTGAAGCCCTATGTTCCTCTCGGAATTAAAGGAAACAATAATAATGATATAATCACAGTACCCAAGTTTTATACTCTTATATCACTGTAGTTCTAACTCTTCTATCTCTTCATTGCAATGACAATTCATATCTATCTTTCTTTAGTTGGTTTAATGTCATTGGTTAACTTTTGCTTATATTCAGCAAAAATTTGACTTCTGATTTATAAGTAAAGCAGAGAAATGCTGGTGTCTATGTCACATTCCCTACTTCGGTTGTCACAAACTTTAATGCCTGAAACTATTTCGAGGTTCGATGATTGTCTTTTGCTTAAATATTAAAAATTAAGTCCCTTTCATGAGGACTAAGAGCTCACAATCAGAGATTATGAGAGATTCAGTAACACGTTGGAATACGCTACAGAACTCAATTATTGTTATTATTTTACCCTTGTTTCCTAATGGAACATAGGGCTTGCTTCTGTCTTCTGCTGTACTTTTCACTCGCATCCATTTTAGTCCATACTGTTTCCACTCCTCTTCACACGATCTCCTCCATATCACCCTCCTTAGACGTCCCACTCACTGCTTCCCTTTCGGGTCCCACTCGAGTATTGGCCTGAAGCGCGATGTCATCCAGCGGCCTCCCTCCTCAACGAGTGTCCAATCCATCTCCACTTTCTCCTGCATATTTGTTGTTTGGCGATTGGTTCTTGTTTCGTTTGTTTGTTCCCATAGTTTCTTGTTGGTTTTTGTTCTTTCCGGCCATCTGATCTTCAGCATAGAGGCAGCGAAGACAGTTGTTGATAAAGGTCTGCAACAGGCTGTTGGAAATATTCTTTGTGACTCGCCGCCAAGTTTCTGATCCGTATAGCAAAACTGACTTCACATTTGTATTGAAAATCCGAATTTTGTTGTTGATGTTGAGTGACGAATATTTCCAGATTGGTTTCAGGTGGATGAATAAGGGGATATATATAAGTATATATGTATAAATGCATGGCAGCATCGGTGGTTCAGACGTATGAAGCGCTCGCCAGCTATATAACTTTCACTGTCCGGGGTTCGATTATTTGACCACTGATGCAATCCCAAATCTCGTTGGTAGCTGCTGGTAAAGAGCGAGGGGGGTTGTTGGGCGTTGAGTCTAGTAGCAACCACAACACCGCATCCGTCTCACCACGACGCTAAATACCTGTCAGTATAAAGAACCACTACTATTGAAACTTGAAAAGATCTAGGTTGAAGCATTCTTGTCTCTCTATATATATATATATCTCTCTATCTCTTATATTCCACTCAAAATAATGTATGTAATTGGTGGATGGTGACTAGCAGTGGAATCCAGGATTACACGCATTTCCTCCTATTTGGGACTCGTCTGCCAGCTGGATGTACCTGCATTCCCCAGTGAGTTAGTGATGATGTTCCCACCACTGAGGCTCGAACCCAGTGCCCGCAGTTTCAAACGCCACAGCGTTATCCACTAGACCATTTGGGCCACAAGAAAGCCACCTATTTCTTGTCCAACGGGTCATATTAATTATTTTTAATTGAATTTTAGATTTTCCCGTCCATTGATTGATTGGACCGAAGTGCTCCGTATCAGGTTGACATGTCTGTCGGCTCCTCCTTGTGCATGCAGATGCTTCGATGATGTCTGGGCATTTAATTAGTATTAAATTGGTGGAATCCACCAGGATGAGCATTTCGTCCTATTTGACACCGAGCACTCCAGTCCAGTCAATCGATGGGAAAACTCAAAAATTCAATTGAAAATAATGTATGATAATAGAATAAATTGAAGACAAAAAAAGAAACGGAGTTATAGAATTAGGGAAATATATATCTGATGATACAATAAATATTTATATATAAAATAAATTATCAACTAAGTATGGAAAAAAGAGAGTGGATAAATGCATTTGCATGAAAGACACAAATATATATACCTTGAATTGCCATTTTCTTTCTTTTTTTTTTAATTAAAGGTGTACAGATAAGACAACCAGGAGTACTCAACATATTAATGAAGGCTACTATGTATAACAGCATAGTTAATATGATAAAAGGGAATGTGTTGAAGGAAGGAGTGATAGTGACTGACTGAGTGAGTGAGTGAGAGTGCAAGAAATGAACAAAGTAAATAGTTGAAAGTGAAGAGACCACCCCCGGAAAAAAAATTGAGAAATTTCTAGAATTATTCCAATGAAATAAATAAATAAATAAATGAAATATCAATAGAGGATTATTGTGAATACCAATCATCCAATATCGATAACATTTACTGATGTTACTGATGTGTGTTTGCAAGTGTGTTAGTGTGTGTATGTGACGGAGGTGTGGAAGGTCACTGTCATCTTTGAATGAGTTACCTGGTTGATTGGTTGGTTGGTTAGTTATTTGATCATGCTGAATGTTGTTGGTTTCGAAGTAGAAAGAAAATAAAAAAAATTGACCGATATAATATGCAGAGGAGAGATTCAATAAGGAAGGCATTGTTATATGTAGAGAGTTGACAGTTAGTTACATGATCAGAGGATACTTTTGGTTTCTTTTTTCTTCTTCTTCTTCTGTTCAGATTCTACTCAGAATGAATTCCATCTCTTCCTCATCCTCCTCTTCACCATCTTCTTATTCGTATTGTTATTTCTGATTCAATGCGATATGGACTAATATTTGACTAGCCAGCATTGGATTTCTATACACCAGTAGACCTTGACGATTACAACATTTGGAGAGATTCGATGAATTGACAGTCTGTGATACAAAGAGAGTGAGAGACAGAGTGAGAGAAGCAAAAAATGAATACACAGGGTAACAATACAGATGGTTGTCAGTAGGACAATTCATGCGGTGTTGTCACTAAGCCAATCAGCTGATTACTATTGTAGTTGACACGCCACCTGAATTCATATAGTGGTAAGAGCTGGCTGCTAGCCAAAATTAGTAGAGACAGTAGCAATTTACGTCAATGTTTACGTCTCCAGTATTGGTCATGAGAAAACAACAAGAACAAAGAGTGACTGACTCAACAACCAATCACAGTGCACTTTGTGTAGGCGGATGCGATTCGCAGATAGATAATCTGACCTTCAAGAAACGGCCACAAAGAGATGAAAGTTTCACTTTCAGCGAGATACCACCAATAAGAAGACTCTATTTGTTTGCTAAGAACAATCTATAAGAATGTACATGAAAATCGATAAATATGCTTTGATTTCCTAAATAAACAATCTGTTGCCTGGCCCTTGTCTTCTGTCGTTTCATTTGGTGTCGCTGCCTACCGACAAATGGAAAGCCTATGCCCTTCAATTTTTAATGGAGACATATGGATCTTCGGACAGGACTTCCAGACTTCTGTGCAGTTGATTGGCTTTCAAGATATGTCAGTGATGAGGCGACTACTTGGGACGCTGCTGGGAGATCGGAAGAAAGCAGTATATGAAAGTGTGAGGCGAAATATAGACGAATGTGCGACAGGGTCAGACAAACAGTTTCCAAAGTGGGAAGGAGCACATATGATCACTTTGAGATGGGGTTACGCAGACACAATCGCAATGGTAAACACAGAGAAACAGGTGAACATCTGCAAGCGCCGAGATTCCAGACAACAAGACAAAAGAGCAAAGCCCGAAGAACCAAGAAGACCGAACCAACTTCAGTCGCAAGCCTTTGACGGGGGGACGAGTGTTGTGAGACTGTCTGCTAGCCAAAACTGACAGATAGTAATTTACGTTAGTGTTTACATCCCAATACCGGTCATGAGAAAACAACAAGAACAAAGACTGACTCAACAACCAATCGCACCAGACCTTGCGTAGGCGGATGCGATTCGCAGATAGATAATCTGACCTTCAAGAAACGGCCACAAAGAGATGAAAGTTTCACTTTCAGCGAGATACCACCAATAAGAAGACTCTATTTGTTTGCTAAGAACAATCTATAAGAATGTACATGAAAATCGATAAATATGCTTTGATTTCCTAAATAAACAATCTGTTGCCTGGCCCTTGTCTTCTGTCGTTTCATTTGGTGTCGCTGCCTACCGACAAATGGAAAGCCTATGCCCTTCAATTTTTAATGGAGACATATGGATCTTCGGACAGGACTTCCAGACTTCTGTGCAGTTGATTGGCTTTCAAGATATGTCAGTGATGAGGCGACTACTTGGGACGCTGCTGGGAGATCGGAAGAAAGCAGTATATGAAAGTGTGAGGCGAAATATAGACGAATGTGCGACAGGGTCAGACAAACAGTTTCCAAAGTGGGAAGGAGCACATATGATCACTTTGAGATGGGGTTACGCAGACACAATCGCAATGGTAAACACAGAGAAACAGGTGAACATCTGCAAGCGCCGAGATTCCAGACAACAAGACAAAAGAGCAAAGCCCGAAGAACCAAGAAGACCGAACCAACTTCAGTCGCAAGCCTTTGACGGGGGGACGAGTGTTGTGAGACTGTCTGCTAGCCAAAACTGACAGATAGTAATTTACGTTAGTGTTTACATCCCAATACCGGTCATGAGAAAACAACAAGAACAAAGACTGACTCAACAACCAATCGCACCAGACCTTGCGTAGGCGGATGCAATTCGCAGACAGGTAATCTGAACTTCAAGAAACGGCCATAAAGAGATGAAAGTTTCACTTTCAGTGAGAAACAACCAATCAGAAGACTGTGTTTTTCTGCTGATAATAATCTATAATAATGTCCATGAAAATCTATAAATAAATGCTGATTTCTTAAATAAACGATCTGTTTGGCTGGCCCTTGTCTTCCGTTTTTACAATATGACAAATGGTTCAAATCCAACTTCTCATCAGGTGGGATCACAAGTCAGTATAAAATGAAGGTTATATGCTCGTACAAACAAGTACAGAAACTCAATGATACTTCAATCGACCCGCAAACTGTGTGACAGAGATACACACTCTTAGGTGTAAAATCTGCAACTTCTTGTGTACTTAGTAGAAATAATTTGGCTGTTTAAATCTTTGCCTATTTGTAGTTTACAGTGATACTGTTTCATTTTCATGAGCTTTACAATCGTAATTATAGTTAAGAAAGAAATCTTTAGACCAATCAGATACTGGTAAATTTTGTCCTTGGAAAATTGTATTCCATAATGTAAGGTGTAACGTAGAAGGGATGACAAATTGTCAGTTAGAAAGGAGACAGATGTTGGCATGACGTAATAAGTGAGAGATAGTGAATAATCAATAAGCTCGTGTAAAATGGACAGGAACTAGTGGAAAGGCTATAAAGTGTTTTTGTATAAAATATGTATGACAAGCAATGTTATGAATAAACAGTAATAGACTGGTAATAAAATATGGATGATGGGAATAATAATGATGATAAAAGAGTATAAATAAAATGAAATAATAATAGTATTAATAGTGAGCTTACATAATAAAGGAAAGAAGCAAAATTTTGGTAAGAACTTTACTCTGGCCATGGTAGGGCAAGAGAATGTGTGTATCGTTTTTGGATGCAGAGGTCCGGTTTTAGATCTCGAATAGCTAATGCTTCAGCTGTGTACAGATGGCGTATCCGAAGTCCCTTTGTACGATATTGAGGGACTCTGTGTAACACTGTGAAGCATTCATGTGGGGGTTCTCGATGTCCAGAGATGATAAGGTGTTCGAGGATCGAGCTGTTGCTATTCTTCTTTTCTCCTCTGGATAGCCACTTTATAGCCTTTCCACTAGTTTCTGTCCATTTTACACAAGCTTATTGATTATTATCATTATCTCACACTTATTACGTCATACCAACTTCTGTCTCCTTTCTAACTTACAATTAGTCATCCCTTTTACGTTACACCTCACATTATGTAATACAATTTTCCAAGGACAAAATTTACCAGTATCTGATTGGTCTAAAGATTTCTTTGTTTAATATAAATACGATTGTACAGCTAATGAAAATGAATCGTCAAAAAGGGAGAATATTCTTCGCTGTTTACGCCTTTTTCTTATGACTCAGTATGGGAATATTTCGTTCATATTCCAAGAAACCTGTGCCTGAATGAAAGTAAATATTTTCACAGAGTGCAATTACCAGATATATTGTTGATAGTGGACATCTCGTAGAGATTTCTAAGTCCTTTAAAATATATATTGAATAGACAAAGGACAACAAATTTTATTACAATTTGTCGAATCGATCGCAATCAAACGATTCAAACCAACCAGACTTATGCGTACACAAAGAGAGTGTGATTAATCTCTCACTCTCTTGGTAACTGAATTTTGATTTTGATATTACATAACTCACTGAGCAAGCTGTCACCGCGTTTGTTTTTTTAAGTTGCTATGTGAACCTCATTATGCTGAGTGACAACAACAGACGATTTTCAAACTAGTTTCAGGGTTGGTGAAGGCGTTGCCTTGCCTTTCTGATTCTGACTTTGACATCTTCGTCCATTCCTTGTGCCTGTAGTTGAAATGATGCTTCTTAGACGGATAAGTGAAGAAGGTAACCTCTGTTTAATCTCTCTCTCTCGTTGATGTAAGCTTAATGAACAGTTTTGCTGTCTGCTGCAGAGTACTTCTAGGCAGAGGATGAAATGAAGATGTTCAGACTTCCAAGGGAATAATAGTGATAATCATCCATCCACGTGGACATAGGCAAAATAGTGGCTGCTATGGGTTGCTATTGGTTCACCAGTCTCCCCAATAGTCGCCGACCTTTTCATAAATAAATTCGAAACTAACATCTTTTCAAGCATACTCACTCCTAAAATATGGTTAAGATATGTAGATGATACTTTTGTATTACTAAAACGAGATCTACACCATTCATTCCTGGAGGAAATAAACTGTGTATCTCCCAGAATTCAGTTTACTTCGGAAGCAGAATCAGACGTCGGTGAACTACCATTTCTAGACTGGCTGCCTAGTTAAGAGAGAGGAAAACGGACATTTTAGTATATCCATATTCAGGAAGAAAACCCACTCCAACAAATATTTAGACTTCAAGTCATCACACACCATCAGCGCAAAGATTTCAGTTGTTTCAAGTCTTCTTAGACGAGCACACTGAAACTCTCAAGCAAAACAACTACCCATGGAACTTCATCAACAAAATCAACACAGACATTAAGTATGGCCGAAAACGCATTCTGAAAACATGGACCTCAACAGTCGTCATTCCATATGGAGCAGAGACGTCAGACGATATCAGAAGAGTACTCAATCAGTTCGACATCAGAGTTCTCAAAACATCAGACACACTGCAAAACAACCTTGTCCATATAAAAGACCAAATCCCTAAAGATTCTCTATCTAATTGTGTCTATAAAATAAAATGCTTGGAATGTGATGCGATATACATCGGACAAGCATCACCAGAGACAAATCAAAATCAGAAGAAAGGAACACCGTAGAGCATCTCTCCGACCACCGAGAAATCCGGTTGAATTACAAAGAATTGAAAAATCATCAGCCATAGGTCTACATGCTATAGAATCAAGCCACAAAATTGATTTTGGCAATGTTGAAATAATCCAGAAAAACTTCAGAAATCACAGAGAACGTGTAATATCATCAGTAGCACTTCATATCAAGTGGAATCAAAATTGCCTGAATAGGAATGATGGACTAAAACAGAATCTGACCTGGTTACAACACCTCCCTCTCCCCCCCCCCCCATCAAGTGACAAAACCAACACGAATGTGATAAGCACTTTCATTATGTAAACACATGCTGCTTTTATAAACTTATACACTTATCAAATCAAACAATCTACACATGATGGTTATGTTATCTTTACCAAATGACCAACTTGACAACTAAAAAATACCCCCAGATAGACGAACGATGATCAAGTTAGTAAACTTTGTTTTGATACCATAACGGATGTATTATCAACTTTGTTATTTAGTTTAGTGATCTTCACTGTTATTTTGACTTTCAATATGTCCCTTTAACTTGATCTAAGTCTATTTTCTCACCCCCTAACTCTTTGTTATATATATTTGCTGAGATTTTGTAAATTCCGGTTTAATAATACTTTGATAAAGCTGTTAGCATTAAATAGAGGAACGTCAGTAAAAATAACAATATCGTTTTGTTTTTCATTCATTGGGAAATACAAGAAAACAACCTTTATTATAATGAATAAGCAAAACAAATTTGAAAAAATAAAAGAAACAACATTTGGCCTTACCTGAATCTCTTGCGTTGATTTTATAATTTTATTATAAGTAATTTGAAATTTGAACAGATTATTCAGTATTATTTGTCTGACACTATCCAAATTGTTTGGCATGGCTTGTAATGATGCTTTAACTGATTCTAAAGCTGATTTCAATTGGATAATACCACCGCCTAATGAAGAAATTATTGTATGCGGACCACATGTATCCCAGACAAATGTATTCGGCTACAAGCACAAACGCGAAGCATTATTTCCAGAGGGAGGAAGAGAGAGAGTACGTGAGAAATTCATCAGATAGTGTAAAACAAAAGAAAATAAATAAATAAATAAATTATCGCTGTCGTGGGAATGTGATATGACTGTCAATACACCTGGTGGTTGCGCTAACGAATTTCCCGGACTACTGTTCTAACCACTATTAGTTTACCAACAGAAGACAAGGGTCAGCCAAACAGATCGTTTATTAAGGAAGTCAACATACATTTATAGATTTACATGTAGATTATTATAGATTATTGTTAGCAGACAAACACAGTCTTCTGATTGGTGGTTCCTTGTTGAACATTAATCTTTCATCTCTTTGTGGCCGTTTAATTGAAGTTCGGATTATCTATCTGCAAATTGCATCCGCCTACGCAAACAAAGTCTGCTGTGATTGGTTATTGAGTCAGTCAGTCTTTGTTCTTGTTGTTTTCTCATGACCAATATTGGGGAGGTAAACATTGACGTAAATTGCTGCTGTCTACCAAATTTCGGCTAGGAGGCAGCTCTCACCACATTAGCATCACCAACAACAGCCGCAACAACACAACACGATTCTGCTGAAACCGCAATGCAAGTAGACAAGAAAAGAAGACAGACCATTGACGTGGAAAGCTTTTACTGTCTCATATCGACGGTGAAAAAATGGTTGACAGCGCTTGCGTACATATAGACGCTTCAAATAACCTTGAGGGACACTTATCGCATTGATAAATTAAAACAGCCATCAACTAATAGGATTCTAAGGTCAAAAGTGTGGTGAGGGAAATACAACCACTGTGGTGAGAGCTTGTGAATGACATCAAACATAAATCATCTGCGAAATCCAGGTCTTCTAGGTTCTTCATGTCGGTCCAGGATACCCGTGTCTTCTCGTTTCCCACTGTCTGACGTATAATCCAGTCCACCACAATTAGGAATATCATTGGTGATAATAAGCACCCTTGTTTGACTCCTGTGTTTACTCCAAACACCTCGCTGAGTTTTCTGTTGTGGATCACTTGACATGTGCCGTTGTCGTACAGCTGTTGAATAAGGTTGATAAATACATGCACATTAAATTGGCCAGACTCCGTAGTTTATCCTTCACTTGCATTGGGATTACACAGCGATTGATAAATTTATAATATATATATACATATATATATATATGGTAATGTATAATAAATTTTCCATTATCCTTATTTCAACGTCAAGAGTGATTGTGGTTGTGAAGACTTTTCTATGCGAATAATTTGGATACCGATGAGACTTCGTTTTCATGCAAAAAGAATAAACAAAGTTAAATGTGTGTATCGGCGATCCTGTTTATTATAGTCATCTCGTTTGCAACTAATAGTAATCTCTGAGCTGGTTAGTTTTGTTGCGGAGCTTTCGTCGTCCTTCTGGACAACATCTTCAGCGCAATATTTAGCATAAAGTGAAATGATTTAAATTTCTTCATGAGTGATATAATTATGTCTCCTGGTAACCATCTTTACACATGTATTGGCCATTTTCTATGGACTTGGATTTTAAACTTTCTGGTCACCTGATTTACTTTTTACTAGTTGGTATATTTCGTCTATATTAACGTGCTTGTTAATTGCATTTTCGTTTGAGTATCAGGCTTCTAGGAATTCCCTGACCACAGTTTTGGTGTTTCCTCTGTTTAAGATTTTGACATTATCCCAATCATCAAATTGATGTCCATAATTGTCTATATGCATTGATACTAAAGAATACATATCGTGTCTTTTCACGGCTGATTTGTGTTCTTGGATTCTGATTCGAAGGGGACACCCACTTTGGCCAATGTAATGCTTGTTACCGTTCATACAGTTTATTTTGTAAATGGTATTAATTTTATCCCCTTTTTCTGTTGGATCTTTCGGTTTGCATAATATCGAATTATGCGATTATTTTGGCTGGCTTGAGTGCTATGTCTGTGTCAAACGGTTTCAGTATTCTAGCTGTTATTTCAGAGATATTTCTCATGTATGGTAGGATGAATTTTCTTGTGGTCTTTGATGATGGTTCTTTGTTGGTGTTTCGATTCGATTTTAAACACTTTTTGATGAAATTTTGTGGATAACCATTCCTCTTTTTGAAGACCGTTGTAGGTACTTTTCTTCCATTCTTTTCAACTCTGGAGTGCTACAATGTGTCTGAACTCTTTTATACAATGTCTGCACACAGTTTCGTTTGTGAGTGCGTGATTGGATTATTGCTAGTATAGTTGAGTATTTGATCTGTGTGCGTTGATTTTCTATATACTTGTGTTTCTAAATCTTCTGTGTTGGTTCTCCTGATTAAGACATCTAAAAATGGGATTTTGTTATCTAATTCTTCTTCTTCTCTTGTGAATTTAATGTCTTCAAATATGTTGTTTATTAATTTATGGGTATATTCTAAATCATTTCTCTTAATTAATACAAGTGTATCATCAACGTAACGTACCCATAGTTTTTGTTTATGCATAGGTAGAGCTATTAATTCTAATCTTTGCATAACGGCTTCAGCTATTAATCCTGTTATGGGCGATCCCATTGGTGTTCCTTTTATTTGTTCATATACATGAGTATTGAATTGGAAGTATGTTGTAAGGCATAGTTTTATGAGTTCTGTCCAAGTTGAACACGGCGTTTTTATGTTTTTATCACTATAGAGTAATTGTTGCATAGTTTCTGTTGCTAGTTTTGGACTAATTGAAGTATATAATGCTGTGACATCAAAGGACACCATTATTTCATTGTCTTCTACTTGAATGTTTTTGATTTTCTCTAAAAATTGGGTTGACGAATTGATAGAATGGTCGCATGATTCTGTTAGGTAATTTAATTTCCTGAAAAGTTCTTTAGACAGATTATATGTTGGTGTTCCTGGAAGCGAAACGATTGGTCGTAAGGGAATGTTTGGTTTGTGTAGTTTTGGTCTACCATAGAATCGAGGTAAAATAGGTCCGTTAGATTTCATTCGCCATTGATCTTGTTCTGTCATTTGTCCTGATTTCGTCAGTTTATTTTGACGTTATTTTGATTTTGTTATCTAATGTTTGTATTGGGTTTTTTGTCAACTGTTGATATACATTATTATCTTTGATTAAATCCTCTGCTTTCCTTATGTAGTTTTTCTTTATGTAGTCCTCTCGTCTTCTATTTTAGCAGGACATGAAGAAGTGATAAATGATAGTGTGAGCTTAGTTTGTGAATGAGGCATATTGATCTGTTTTGAGAAGAAACCCCCCCCCCCAGCATCAATTTTAGTCTTATGCAGGATAAGAGTACCATCAATACATCTTCAGGAGAACGGAAATACATATTTGCTTACTTCTATGGTGTACTATAATTATCTTGAGAATTATTAAACAACTATTCACTACAAACATTCAACAGAGGTGATGAAGATTCCTGGTTAACACCACCAACAGCAACAGCAACATCAACAGACAACAATCAGGATAAATGGGAGGGACCTGAAAGAAACAACCTCCTCTACCACCTACCTTAGAAGCATCGTTTCAACTATATGCAGACGGAACTGACGGGGATATCAAAGCAAGAATCGGAAAAGCAAGACAAGCTTTCACTACTCTCAAGTCTGTGTGGAGGTCAACAGCACTCAGCATCAAAAATAACATCCGGATTTTCAACTCCAATGTGAAGTCAGTCAGTGCTACTCACTATACGGATCAGAGACTTGCACTGCGCGTCATAAAGAGCACCTCAAACAAACTACAGACCTTCATCAACATTTGTTTTCGCTCAATACTTCACTCAAGATCAGATGGCCAGCCGGCCAGAAAAGATCAGCAACAGAGAAGGATCTCTGGCAATGAGCGAGCCGACCGAGCAGGAACCGATTGTGAAACAAATAGGCAGGAAGAAATGGAGATGGATTGGCTGGCCATACTCTGAGGAAACCATCAAGTGACGTCACTAGACAAGCCATTGCTCGAGTGGAACCTGAAAAGGAAGCGGCGAGTTGGTCGTCAGTGCGAAGGTGTGGTGACTTTGAGGAGGTGATGTGAAGAGGATATGAAAACGTGTGGGCAGACTTGCAGCCAGGTGAAGACGTTGGCAGAGAACCGAACGCAATGGAGACGCACGGCTGAAGCCGTATGTTCCCCTTGGAATTAAAGGAAACAATAATAATAATATAATACAAACATTCAACAATTGTCATTCAGCTACAAAGTTTACTCTTCAAATTGTAAATGGATCGTAAATTCCTTTTCTTTGGTGTTGAACTTTACAAGAAGAGCTGACGGAACTTTAAGAAGGTTCATGCATAGGAAACCCACATATAACGGCCAAATGACAAGCGTCTACAGCTGGGTATCAATCGGTTGGAAAAAAACCTAATTAGTTCTCTTGCTACACTCACATCCGATGAACCTGCAGCCCTGATACCCTGGAAGAAGAACTCCATTTCGTCAAAGAAATCTTCACACAAAACGGTTATCCATCAAGATTCGTAGACAAAAACACATCAAAAACAGAAAATCCAAAAGCAAGAGACGACATCTGTACCTCAACTTCAAAGGTGATCTACTCAGTAATGTACTTATGAGGAGAATTTCCACTTCTTCAAGAAGAACTTTCTTCGTGGCAACATTGAGAGTAGTGTTCTCCAGTTGCCAGCTGATCTGCAGAGGCCCAAATAACAAGATTCCGTACCTGACCAATTCTATGTGTGTGTGTTTATCAGTTCACCTGTTGCTGTGGAGTCAGGTACATCGGTCGTTCGATGCGTATCCTGTCAAAAAGGTCAAAGAACACCATCCGGCGAAGCTGAAGAAAGGAAGTAGTGGCCGTATAAAGATTGTAATAGTCGAACATCTCGTTAGCACTCGTCATTCTATCTCAGCAAACGCCTGCAACTTCAAAGTAATCTATGAAGTGAAGAACAACCCACCAAAGACAATACGTCTCCATCTTCTTTCCATGGCACAAGCCGTAGCCATTTCAGTTAGAAGAACAAGAACTACGCACACAAACATTACCATCATGGTAACAACTCTGTTGATTTGACTTAACTTTTGTTTGTTTACTTATTTTTTCTAACTACTTGAAACTCTTACGTAATTCCGTGTTTTATTTTGTTTCTATGTACACCCTGAGCACAACTCTTTCATCAAGCTATTCATGTTATTAGGTAACTCTTCTTTAACAATCGTTTGTTTGTGACAACTCATCACCTTTGTTACTACCCACTTATATCAACATCCAATTCCTCTGAACGCTTTTTGTATTTTAATAACCTCCCCAAAAACTTACTAATTGTATTTTTAAAAACTTCAAGCAATTCTTCCCATTAATAAACTTAAACAAAGCAAGAACAACAATTGTACCACGATAATATGAGCTTATCTTTCATTATTTCGAGGATTCTTCCCAACTGGTTACAACCTGAACGATAATAAAAATATGAATTACATTACATGAAAGATTTGAACATACTTTTCCACGATCACAAGGAGTGATTGGTACGAAGTAAAAGTATTTTTTTTTAACATTAGTCCGGAATGACTTAACTAATTAAGAGTTACAAACACTGACTATTTATAGAATAATTAGACAATTAGGCTTGGAAACAAAAACAGAGTTGCATATATATATATATATATGTGTGTATAGAAACAAGGTTTAGCTAGAAAGAGCATAACAAAAAGGTAGATTACGTAACTAAAGAAAATGTTTTATCTAATAGCCAATAGAAAGAAACTGGTCATAATGTAGACAACTTGAAGTCATTCAAAATAATCAACAAGCGAAAGAAAGCTAGCTTGCTACGATTTGCTGAAGCAATTGCTATCAGACGACTTAAATTAAATCTATGTACGCAGAAAGAGACAGTGGTGAATCTTGCACTACCCTGGTGACAACAAAAAATGTACAACTTGTATGAGTCACCCTTTTTCTTGTTTAGAAAACTCTACTCTCTCATCTAAACATGACTCACCCTATCTTGTTCTTTGCTCTTCCTTTTTTCTATTGGCTATTAGATAAAACATTTTCTTTAGTTACGTAATCTACCTTTTTGTTATGCTCTTTCTAGCTAAACCTTGTTTCTATACGCACATATATATATATATATGCAACTCTGTTTTTGTTTCCAAGCCTAATTGTCTAATTATTCTATAAATAGTCAGTGTTTGTAACTCTTAAATAGTTAAGTCATTCCGGAGTAATGTCACTTTTACTTCGTACCAATCACTCCTTGTGATCGTGGAAAAGTATGTTCAAATCTTTAATGTAATGTAATTCAAATTTTTATTATCGTTCAGGTTGTAACCAGTTGGGAAGAATCCTCGAAATAATGAAAGATAAGCTCATATTATCCTGGTACAATTGTTGTTTTTGCTTTGTTCAAATTGTAGTTTTGTTTAACAAATTTAATGTACACACATATATATACAAAATAACCGCATATATTTTATTTTGGGCTGATATCGTTTAGAGAACCATTGGAAAACCACCGGGGAGTACTGGACAGCCAGTTATTTCGTCATTTTTTGGGACTCTGTGTCAGTACGCAACCAGAACAGAGGTTCGAACCCAGGACCTTCTGGTTACAAGGTCAGCTCGTAGACCATTCAGCAGCTACTGGGACCCGATAGTCAACGAGTCCGAATTAAATGACGAAACAACTGTCCAGGACTCCCCAGTGGTTTCCCAATGGTTCTGTAACTGATGTCAGCTCATGATGATGAAATCCTGTAACCAATAAATCAAATCCTTACAAGCTAATTTATATATATATTTGCGATTGAACAGCTGAGTGATAAATGAATTCGCCGCCGACAAAAAAGAGACTCTTCGCTTAACTAAACTAGTCTTTATTATTATTATTCTTTCCTTTAATTCCTAGAGGAACATTGGGCTTAAGCCGTGCGTCTGCATTGCGTTCGGTTCTCTGCTAGAGTTTTCACCTGGCTCCAAGTCTGCCCACACGCCTTCATCTCCTCTTCACATGACCTCCTCCAAGTCACCCATGCACGGACGGCCAACTCGTCGCTTCCCTTTCGGGGAACATGGGAGTACTGGACAGCTGTTTCGTCCTAGTTTGGGACTTTTCCTCAGTACTCACCCACCGGGTTTCGAACCCAGGACCTGCTCGTTACAAGGCGAACTCGTATACCCTTAAGCCACTGGGACCTCGTGCTGAATTTTCTGTAGCAGCTTTGTTTACAGGGTGGGGTTGCTAGCTTCACGCCTGAGAAGGGGAGAAATAAAAGGTTAGTGTTGCATGACCGCAGAGCCCAGGGGACAACTGCTTGAGGCCGATCACACGTGGCCTGTTTTAGTTTGTTCTTTTTTGTTTGGTCTGTCTCAGTAGCATATTTATCACTTCTGCTCTGTGACACAGCAGCAGGAAGCGCGGTCGTAGTTAATCCGGGCCCCGACCGATCCGGCATGATATTTTGTGAGTTTGTTTGCGACATAGTATTGGATTGGGTAGCTGCTTTTTGTCTAACCGCTATCCAAACAACCTTTCTGGCATGGTAGGACCTACAGGAACATAAGTTCAAGCCAGTGTAGCTCGTTGGGTCATTTCGATATGCAAGCTCGACCACCACGTCAAGGTAGCAGCTATTGGTCGGATACTAGTCTTTACTCAAATTTAAATCAAGAAAAACTTCGAATGCATTTTCAATTCCTTCAGATAAATTTAACTTGCTGACCAAAATGTCAGTCAGTAAGTTAGAATAATAAACTGTGCAGTAAAGGCATGCCTGAGTATACATACATACAATACGTGTATAAACAAAGGCTCTCTATACACACACCCACTTACTTCCATTAAAATGAATGCATCAACTTCATCTAATATAACGCATAACTGTTTAAAACCTGCTCCAGATGATGACAGTAGGACAACATTGACCAATTCTTGATTTTCATCTTTATAATCTAAATGTGTATACAAAAAAAATATATAAGCAAACAGATAAACAAAGAAAACAAAGAACGATAGTAGAAGGAAAGTAGAATCCTAAAACAAAGGGAACATTCAGTCAAACAAGTAGTTACCCCTGAGTTGTAATGAGAAGTCGTGACCAGTGGGGTACAGGAGGTTGGGTGTGCAAAAAAAAAGACACTCACCGCTGATAATATTGGCTAGTTCCATTGTGGATAAGAATTTTATTTTGATAAATCACATAGTGTTGTTATACAGTAAGTAATATTTACTGATGACCACGCTTTGAGCAAAAACTATTGATGCTCACAATCATATCAAGGCACTCATTCACACAAGTTTCTAGCTTCATTTATATACATGAGTGAAACTGATGATTAGGCATTTGAATAAAAATCAATATAGGATAATGTACATTCAGAAATAATAATAATATGAGTGTCATTGATCAATTACAATCAGATGGGAAATAAGACGAGTGTTTTTATAGCTATAATAAGTTACTTGTTAGAATATTCTGATATGCATGAATTGAAATAGAGTTTTGAGATTATTTATTATCCTCCTCTGATTTGACTGACTGGTGGTATTAATATCTTCCATACATATCTCTGGTATTTGCATTGAGTCATTTCTGTTGCATGTGCTGTGTTGGGTGTAGAATCAATGAACAAGAATTCAGTAATCAACCTCTCTCTCCACCTACCTATGTTACTCTTTAGAATTTTAACCCTATCCCACCCTATTGTGTGTGTGTTCATGCATGCATTGCAATTGCTGAGCTTTTTTCTAAATTATTTAACTTCTCTGGGTCAACCATTCTTAACTTAGCTAAATTCTTATGTTCTGACAATCTGACTACCCCTGACCTACTAGTTTGACCTATGTAGTTGACCTAACTCACAGTCATTGCAGGGTATTTTGTAAATAATATTATTTTGTCTAATTGGGTCAACTGGGTCCTTTAACCTACAGAGCTTGTCCCTGAGTGAGTTTGTAGGTTTGAATGCCACTACCCCAATTCCTGCTTTGTTGAGAATCCCACGTAGGGAGGGTCTCAGATGTCCCTTCCTTATATGGTATACCAGTATATGACTTATATTCTCTCATATATTTGTTATCATTACTAGTTTCACAATTATTTTTATTTTGCTTTTGGTCTGTACTGATCTTCCTAATGAATTTTTTAGGATAGTTATTTGATACCAAGCAGCCTTTCTTCTATCTGTTTTATTTCATCATTTAGGTCTTTTCTCATACTACTTAGGGCTACTGCTTGGTTTGTTAGACAGACACTTAACTAGGCCTACCTTCACAGACAACGAACGGATGAGATGAATTAAATGCGTTGGCTTTTTATAAACTCTAGTGTGTAGTTTACATTATTCTGTTCGTTTGATTTTACAATCTAAAATCCTGGGTAATTCTCCTTGTTCAATTTTCGATTCAAATGTGAATTTTATTCCCTCTACTAGTGAGTTTATATATGTCAAGAAGCTAGAGGGAGATATGTTCTGTTCTGACTAGTTTGGATTGGTCTTTGGAATCGTCCCTGTATTAGTAACTTAATACTATCTCAGAGTGAGTCAGGAATTACCTTTTCTAACCTCCCCTTTCTTCTTCACATCGGATAAGCCAGCATAGAGAGTATTTTGGAGATCTGATGGAAACACCTTACGTCTCTGCTGTTGCATCCTTTTAGAATATCTTTTCCCGTCTCTTTTTGTCTTCCTATATGTGCTCCGTTGAGTATAGCGAGTTGAACTGCTGTACTTCTGTGCAAATGTCTATGTTGAAACCAGTTGGTCAGCTAGTTGGTTGGTTATATCGAAGGAAGGCGTCAAGAAAATCTAATTGAAAACAACAAAATATGGTTCTCTCATATTTCTATTCCGTCTATTCCGTCAAGTTGATGATGTCGCAATGGGAAGCCTTTTGGGACCACTTTTCACTGACTTATTCTTGTCACGCCTAGAAACCAGTACCTTGCAGCAACATATACAAGAAATGGATGTATAACTAAGATATATTGATAACATTTTTATTGTCTGTGGAAGCAGATCAAAAGCCGAAGACAAGTTGATAAAATTCAAATCATGCCATCCAAATCTCAATTTCACAGTAGAACACGAGGAAAGCGATACTAATCAATTCCTAGACATTTTTCTGGTGAAAATCAATGATGGCACAATCGAAAGATGTATATTTAGAAAGTCTTCATGGATAGGACAGGACAGTACATGCATTTCAAGGGCTTTGTTTCAATCCAGTATAAAACGAACTTAGTCAGAACACTGTTCAATAGAGCACTAAAAATTTGTTCTGACAGTACTGTTGAGTATGAAATAAATGCTCTGAAGGATTTTTTATCTAAGAATGGATATCCTGAGAAATTCATTAATAAATACTCTAAAGAAATTAGCCCCTGCAAAACAATCCAAACAGTTCCGAAGAAACCTGTCTATATCATTTTGTCAGGCGTGACACCTATAATTCATTAAATAGTCAGTAGAACAACTGGACCTCGTCTTTCCAACTCATATCATTTATAGGTACAATATTTTCTTTCTTTCTTTTCCTTTTCTCTCTCTCTTTTTTCCGTTTTGTGCTGCTTTGTTTCTTTCTCCCGCTTACGCCAATAAATATGACAGCTCCTACTTTTCTAACACCTTCAAACACCGTTCAGCTTTACCTTTGCTACCGACATGCCAATATGTTGTTGTCATAATGAACTGAGATTTCCTTAATCTATGTAGAATTCTATTTATTGATAATGTACTAACTGGATGCAATACTGTAGTAAAAATGCTGAGAATTCCATTCTGTATCACATGTACTGTTTTGTAATAAAGCAAATTATTATTATTATTGTCGTTTAAAGGAGATGATGTACAGGATGTAGTCAAACGAAGACTCGACAAAGCCATCAAGAGAACTTATTATGCTGCAAAACGTGTTTTCCTTAACACCACTGAGCGAGTGCTTCAACAATCTGGGAAAGACCAGTCGCCAATCCTCGACACTTCAAACTGCATATATATCAATTTGAGTGTGTTTATGGAAGCAAATACGCATAGGTCGTGCAGAACGGCGATTGTCTACTCATAGCATGATGGAGTATTTGCCAAAGTGGTTGAAAACAGCTGAGTGCAAAGTGCCAAAAACCTCAATAACAAAACATCTTGTGAATTATGGACATAATATCGATGCCTTCAAGTCATTCACTATTGTCAGCGAGCAGACAAAGAAACAGGAAGATGCTTGCAATTGTGGAGGAGGCTTGTGCAATTCGAGTTTATGAAGCAGGTCTCTGTGTACAAAAGGAGATGGTCGTGACTCTGAATCTACCATGGTAATACGCTTTACTTATAATTCTACCTCTTATTATTATTATTTTTATTATTATTATTCTCATTATTATCATTCTTGATTCATTTAAAACTATCCTTCATCAGTAGCATTATCTTAACTCACTTCAACACTATTATTATTATTGTTATTATAACTATTACTATTGACATCACTCTGTTTGCAATTCTTGTTATATTCTCTAATGACTAATTGTTTATCTAAGTGATGTAACTGAAGCGCAATGCATTTTATCTTAATTTTAATCTCTCGCATACTCCCTCTCTTCTTATCTATTTGAACATGACCTGGAAAAACATTCGCACCTGTCTTTCTGCATGACTAATTCAATGTAGTTTGTTTACTTATCAGTCCTATATCTCCCAATGTAATTTCAAAAGTATATATGTCCGTGTATGTAGAGTATTCAGCTGACGAGTTCTACCGAAATTTGACGAATTCTTTAAATCATCCTGCTTTATTAACCTGCTTTGTTGCTTGTTTTAAATCTTATATTTCTTGTTTCTAATTTTTACATTGGAAATATTTATTAATCCCCCAGACATGTATAATAATTTGAAAAATAAAAATTAAAAGGACAATAAACTTGGGAGGAACGCGGCATGGAGTTCGCGGAAGGTCATTGGAAAATAAAACACACTTACCATGAAATAAATTAGTCAATCGACTAAACTCCACTGAACTGCAAGCAAGTTTTAAAATCGGTTTGCCTTCACTGAACACTCTATCTGGACAGAGAACATCGAAAAAATTGTCTGGAAAACGTAGATGTCTTGGATACTGTGAATGGCCTGGTGGTGATGAACTGATTAAGCCATGATGTGAACGACAATTATTTGATCTGCTATTTATAATCAATGAATTGGTTTCTAAATTCATTATATGAATACCCCAAAATATTCGACCATAATTAGGAAAAGTACTGGAACAAAAAATAGTAACGATGAAAAATAAAAAAGGCATGATAAAAGATCAGTGTATTAGAGGAGGAAGAGTAGATTAGCTGAAATATATGTAATGAGGCAGATACAGAGGGTATATGAGATCGTCAGAGTTTGGAATTCACAAGAACAGGCCTTTGGATTAGCGTATCCCAGTGGCTGCTGAATGATCTACGAGCTAGCTCACCTTGTAACTGGAAGATCCCGGAGTTCTAACCCTGACGGTGAATGCATATTCGACGAAGTACAAGAATAGAGTCCCAGGAGTGCGAACGCTCAAATGACCTTGAACGCTTGCCAGTCGTTGGTTGAGGAAACTTACCATTATTCTAGCGCGAAAATGAACCCTGTTCATGAGCTCAGATGCAAATACCATCCAGACCACGTTTTCCAGTACTGCTTAGATAATGGATTGATAGGACGTACTCGGATATGTAGTTGTGGTGCTTCCATGAACCTCCAGTCGTATACCCAGGTCACTGACGGATATGTATTCAGATGTACACAGTGTAGGAAGCGAATAAGTGTGCGTACTGGTAAGTGACACTCTCAGTTAATTGTCTTCTAGGAACTTTCTTTGAAAAGTCGAAACTGTCTTTGACCAATATCCTGTTTCTGTCCCATTACTGGGTTTTAAAGTCCGGGGTGCGATCAACTGCGGCTCAAACAGCTAATACATTGACGTCTACTGTGCAATGGTTCTAATTTTGTCGAGATTTGGCGTCATGGAAAATGAACAGTATTACACAAGTTTTGGGAGGAGTCAGCGCTGTCGTTCATATAGATGGAACGGTCCTTATAAAGAAGAAATATAATCGGGGACGTGCTAGAGCAAATGACGTTTGGGTATTGGGGATTTACGACACCCACATTCGGAAAGGATTTATCGAGCTGATTCCAGATAGGAGTGCTGATACACTCCTCCCTATTATTCAGCGGCTTGTCTTACCAGGCACCACCATTCACACAGATGAATGGGCAGGATACAACTGATTATCGCAACTGGGATATATGCATCATCGAGTCAACCATTCGGATGACTACATCGACCCCAGGACAGGTACTCATACCAATTCAATCGAAGGTTTCTGGGGAAGACTGGAAAATAGAATCAGAGCTATCAACGGATCTCAAAACGAAGTTATTTTCAGTCATCTAGATGAATATATGTATAGAAATTGGTTCAATTTAAAAACTGAAACCCCTCAGCATAATTGGGAGATTTTTATCTCATGTTAGACAAAAATATCCGGTTTAATGTTTTTTTATGCTTTTTCATGTAAATATGCGTAAAATTTTATGCAAAAATCCTCATTTTTCCTGATTGGTCGGCTCAAGGTCACTCGTGCGTACGCATCCCTTGGGACTCTATTGTAGAACTTTGCCGCATATTCTACAACAGAAGAGTCCTAAACTAGGCTGACAACAAAGCTGTCCAATATTTTTCACGGTTCTCTGGCCGATGTCAGTTCATGATGAAATCTTGTTACCAATCGCATCAAATCCTTGCGAACGAAAACTTGAAGATGTTTAATCCCTGATTGCATAAACAATTATTCGTCACATTAGTTATGATCCCACTAGATTTTTTATCCAAATATCCTGTCTATTGTTGCTATTTCTACATTTCTAACCCCCAATTGCACAGTGTGTCAATCTTCTCAGTAATTATGATGCTACTTTATCCATTCCCCCTGTTTATTATGGCATTTTAATTCCTAATTGTAATTTTATTAATCTGACCCTTGACTGGAAATTATTCTGGAACTTTCCCACCTATTTATTATAAATACACGAATGTACAGCTCTAGTTGATGATTTCGTCGAGAAAAAAAGATTTTCTTCACTGTAACTGTCTTTTAGATTCGTTTCTCTTAGAGCAAAACACCATGGGTCGGTGGTGCGGCGGTTAGGACGCTCGCCGATCATGTATATGTCCGGAGTTCAATCCCCGGCCGACGCACACCTGATATCTCAATGGTCGGCCTAGTAAATTTGGGCTAGCGATATCACATGCTGCGAAATTCAATAACTATACCAAAAATACTGTGTGAAATCAATCTATAATAAAAAAATAAATAAATAAAAAAGAATATGGGGTCATCCGTAATTGAATCTTTGAATTTATAAATAACTTTCAATATATCATGAAATACAATTTAAGGACAGAACTTTAATTCACTTCTATGAAAGCGTTCCTAACAGATAGTTGTACGATCGATAGCTACCCCTATTATGTGACAGTCAGCATTATGTATCACAAAGACTCAAAAACACAGCTACACTATGATGATTGAGTCGAATGTTTTTCTAGCAGAAAGCTACAAAAATGAAATCGTCGAAACAAGAGTTATCTTCATTGAATTTTTTCTTTTCTGTCTTAGTGGGAATAATTAATTTTAATTATTATAAGCCCTCACATCAACAACCAATCACAGCAGAGTTTGCGTAGACGGATACAATTCACAGATAGATAATCTGAACTTCAAGAAACAGCCACAAAGAGATAGAAGATTCACTTTCTGTGAGAAACAACCAATCAGAAGACTGTATTTGTCTGCTAACAATTATCTATAATAATCTAAAAATTATGTGTGTTGATTTCGTAAATAAACGATCTGTTTGGCTGGCCCTTGTCTTCTGTAGTTCCAGTAGTTTTCGCATCATTGTATTCATTTCATCTTTCACATAAAAGTGTTGACATCAACAACATTCGAATATTATAATGTTCAAACGGTATTATTTTTTTTGGTTAACGCAAGATATAAGATTGCACAATTAATTCATCCAGAGTACTTTGTGTCATTGACTATTATTATATTACTAGAGGAATAGGAAGCTACGATAGATAGATAGATAGGCAAATAAATTATTAACCCGGAGGAATAATTAATGATTACTACTGCTAATAATACCGGAAAAGGAGCATATAATCAAATTATAAAATACAGTGAAAGAGACAGAGAGAGGGGCAGAAAGGAATTCAATGTAATTAAACAGCATAAATAACTGAAAGCATTTAAACATGATTAGGAATGACAATTATATAAATGCAATCATTAATTTGCCTATTGCTGCTGCCTCTTATCTCCCCTATATATCATTAAGAATAATAAATACAGAAATGAGAATCACTCTATATTAGATAGTTGGAGGCCACAGGAAGCCTTGCTTGACCTAGGTTTCGTGCTAGTTGTATCGGGCTGCTTTCGTTAACTTACACCATCTCTGGCGTAGGCATGAAATCCGGCTATCAATCAGATGACGTGGGTACTGCTCAGCAGTTCGCTCCGTCCTTCTCTATGGCTCTGAAACATGGCTAATACGAGTTGAAGGCATGTAAAGGTTGGCTGCTTTTGATCGTAGATGTCTACGATCTCTTTCTCACGTTAGGGGGCATAATAAGGTAAGTAATGTTGAAGTTAGGCGTAGAGTGTTGGGCAAGGAGGGAAAATCAATCGAAGAGGCTATAAAGTTACATAGATTGAGATGGCTAGGTCATGTGCTGCGCATGCCTAACCATCGCCTCCCCCGTCGGACGGGCATTACTAGCTGATATAGGTGCAGGTTGGTTGGAAAAGAGTAAGTGGTGGCCAAACAAAAACATGGCCTCATCAATCCATGAAATCCCTGACAGTTAAATTGAGTCAGGTAGGGAGATGCAGACTTCCAGGTTGAGGCCCTCGGAACTCTAAGAGTCAATGGCTGGAGACAATAGGTGACATGGCTCAAAATCGTTGTCAATGGCTAATGCAGATGTATTCAGTCTCATATTCCTTTCTACCATTACTCATTCTGTTTCACTCTTATATTTGTCAAAACTCTATTGATTCTCTTCATCACTCATTTTCTTGTCTACGTTTGTGTGCTATTTGGGACGTGGCAACTCGAGCTGCTGCACTTCGGTGCCAAGTTCTACGTTGAATCCAGACAGACAGACCAGTCAGTCAGCAAGGCGCATTCGCAATCACCTTGAAGGAACTCATGTCCCTGCATCTGAGATTCTAACCCGCGTCACCCCAGTGCTGACTGCAGTCAGAGACGTTACCACTACTACCTAGAATGGTGGCCACATTGCAAAACCTGACTGACTGACTGATAGAATTCAGTCTGCACCTAAGAAAGGAGGACTAGACACGTCAAACTAGTTACTAGTGTCCAGTCAAAATAATCACTCTCTATATATTTTGTCATGAATATTGATATCAGTCAGAAAATTACTGAAAACCACGGAACTTCAGATAGTTATTACGTCCCAGTTATACGTAGACGTGCCTACACCAAGAATAGAACTTAGAATTTTCAGGGTCCTGCAAACGAATCGGTCATTCAAGAAATATGCCGAAGAAAATGCCAATGGATCAGACACTGTCCTGATGAGACCGTCGTGCTAAATTATATTTCAGGCTATCAATATAGAGACGAACCCGAGTGAGAAACGTCAATTTGGGGGTGGGTCCGAGGGAGATCTCAAGGAGGGAGTGTGAGAAGTAGATCACAGACTTATAGGCAATTGTAGGGGCCGGCTAGAGAGGCTGACAGAGAATAGGACGATGCAGAGATTTACTGTTGAAGCACTTTATTCCACTCAGAAGCCAAAAGAACAATAATAATAATGAATGTATTACATATGTATGTTATTATTAGTCCCTTGTGTTCCTAGTGGAACATAGGGCTTCAACTGCACGTCTCCACTTGCTTCTGTTTTCTGCTGTACTTTTCACTTGCATCCATGTTACTCCATACTGTTTCAAATCCTCTTCACACAATCTCCTCCATGTCACCCTTGGACATCCCAGTCGCCGCTTCCCTTCGGCTTCCACTCAAGCACTGGCCTGACGCGCGATGTCACCCAGCGGCCTCCTCAGCGAGTGTCCAATCCATCTCCACTTTCTCCTGTATATTTGTTGTTTGGCGATTGGTTCTTGTTTTGTTTCTTCCCATGGTTTCTTGTTGGTGATTCTTTGCATTCATCTGATCTTCAGTATAGAGCCAGCGAAGACAGTTGTTGTTGATAAAGGTCTGCAACAGGCTGTTGGAAATATTCTTTGTGACCCGCCGACAAGTTTCTGATCCATCCGTATAGAAGAACTGACTGACTTGACGTTTGTATTGAAAATCCGAATTTTGTTGTTGATGCAGGCTGAGTGTCAGCGGAAGATTTCCAGATTGGTTTCAGGTTGATGAATGTGTTTCTCGCCTTCCCGATTCTCGATTTGACATCCTCGTCCGTTCCTCGTGTAGTTGACACAGTGTTCCCTAGATAAGTGAATGAAGTAACCTCTTTCAAATCCCTCCCGTTGATGGTGATTGGCGGTGGATGTTGCTGCTGCTGTTGTTGTTGTTGTTGGTTGGTTGGTTATTTTCATAACCTCCGTCTTGTCTATGTTCACCTGGAGTCCTGTCTTTGCTGCCTGCTTCTTCGACCATTTTTTCGGTTTTCACCTGCAAGTCTTCAATTTTGTGTGACATCAAACATAAATCATCCACGCGCGAAATCCAGGTCTTCTAGGTTCTTCACGTCGGTCCAGGATATCCCTATCTTCTCGTTTCCCACTGTCTGACGCATAATCCAGTCCACCACAATTAGGAATATCATTGGTGATAATAAGCACCCTTCTCTGACTCCTGTGTTTACTCCAAACGCCTCGCTGAGTTTTCCGTTGTGGATCACTTGACATGTTCCGTTGTCGTACAGCTGTTGAATAAGGTTGATGAATATTTGGGGTACGACGTAGTACTCGAGTAGTTTCCAAATTACTTCGCAGTCAACGCTGTCGAAGGCCTTCTCAAAGTCTATGGAGTTGAGGTAGAGGTTTGATAGCCATTCCATGCTTTGTTCGATGATGATGTGTAGAGTTGCAATTTGGTCAGAACATGATTTGCCTTTCCTGAATCCAGCTTGTTCTGGTCGGAATTCTGTATCCAGTGCGTCCTTTATTCTCTTTAGGATTATGAGACTCAGTATTTTACTTGGCGTTGACAGGAGCATGATTCCTTGCCAGTTCTTGCAGAGTCCTAAGTCGCCTTTCTTTGGTAGTTTCACGAGGTAAGCTTTACTCCAGTCAGTAGGCACCTTTCCCTGCTTCCAGATCTATTGCAATAATGGAGTAAATATATCTGCTGTCGTCTTTGGGTCCACTTTCAGTGCTTCATATGTGTAGTATTCCAGAAAAAGCGTCATAAACTATTTTATTGTTTTTATAAATAGCATCGATCTACTGAGATCAGCGGAATCACTCTTCAAAGAAGATGCGTTAGTTTTTATGCGCATAAAAAGCATAGTACTAAGTTAAATATCATGTAAAATTGCGCAAATTTATGTAAAATATTAAAGATAGTTTAAAATATTGACAACTAAGCTAAGGAAGCGTCTGAACCAACTTCCGCTTCAGGATACACAACTCAGGCCTCTTCCTAATGTGGGTTCCACAGTCTTCAGTAGTATTATATAGCAGATGAACTGTTGAGGTTAAATTAAACATTAGTCAGAATACAGTAGGCGACTTTGAAAGCCGCTTTGTTAATATCAATCAGTCTTATATGCTATATCCAATGAAATGAGGTGCGGTAGAGTTGTGAATGAATCTCGTTTGTCCCCTGTTTAACCACTTAAATCCGTGATGAGTCACTGAAAAGACTTAAACAACAAAGTAGCATCATAGAAGGTTTGTATGAATCTCTAAAGCCTACTGGTACGGTTACACCAAGATTATATGGACTACCAAAAGTGCACAAAATTGTTTTGCCACTTCGAACAGTGTTAGACATGTGTAATTCTCCATATCATGCCACAGCATAATGGTTAGTGAAGCTGCTGAAACCTCTGCATAATGAATTGGTAGAACATAGCGTAAACGGTAGTTTTGAATTTGTTGGAAAAATAAGAGATTTTAATGTAAGGGACAAGTTTATGATATCTTTTGATATATCCTCCTTGTTCACTAATGTCCCGACCGAAAGCTGCTACCTTGACGTGGTGGTCGGGCTTGAACACCGCAATGACCCAACAAGCTATACTGGCTGGAACTTATGTTCCGTCAGGTCCTAACATGCCAGAAAGGTTGTTTGGATAGCGGTTAGGCTAAAAGCAGTTACCCAATCCAATCCTATGACTTCAGATAAATCACAAAATATCATGCCGGATCGGTCGGGGCCCGGATTAACAACGACCGCGCTTTCTGCTGCCGTGTCACAGGGCAGAAGTGATAAATACGCTACTGAGACACACCAAATGAAAAACGACAAACAAAAACAGGCCGAGTGTGACCGGCCTCAAGCAGTTGTCCCCTGGGCTCTGCGGTCACGCAACCAACTTCCACGGTGAGGGCAGCCGGGAAGTAACAATCGCCCTCACAATCCGAAGTGCACGCGAAACCTCTCTAATCCTCACTCACCTTTGTCTTCATCTTCATCTCTATTATCTTGCCTTCCTTCTACTAATGCAATTCCTCTACTTAATGGCTCTTCACTTCCTCACTAATGTACCATTAATGGAGACAGTGGATTGTATATGTGATTAAATTACTACGCGAAACATAAACATCGGCATTTCTGTATCCTCCTTGAAGGAACTTATTTTAAGATGCACAATGAATGTTCATTTCTTATTCAATAAGGAATATTACAGACAAACTAATGGTGCAGCTATGGGTTCCCCATTAGGTCCAATCCTACCTGATTATTTCCTCGCTAAGTTAGAGAATGGACCACTGAAAGGAGTAATTAATGACTTGGATTTTTACTGTCGATATATGGATGATACATTTCTGGTTATGAAAAACGAGAATGACTCAATGAACATCCTTGACAACTTTAATGATGCCCATTCAGCAATAAACTTTACCATAGAGAAAGAAAGTAATGACAGTATCTCATTCCTAGACGTCTTCATGACAAGGAAAGAAGATGGCACACTAAGAAGGAGTGTGTATAGGAAACCTACAACAACAGGTAAGTACACTTATTTTTTGAGTTTTGCACCTTTCAAATATTAACGTAACCTGGTAAAGTGTCTGGTTCATAGAGATAAGTTAATCTGTTTAGACGACTGCCTCAATGAGGAGCTTAAGATTATTAGACAATTACTGAGAAAAAAATGGTTATCCAGATAAGTTTATTGAGAAAAATATGAATTCAGCACCTAGGAGAGTCAGTATGGCAACAGTTCCGAAAAAACCACTGTTCACAAAACTGCAGTTCCTCGGTGACAACATCAGCGAAATAATAACACAGCGCCTGAAGAATGCAATTAGAAGAGCTTTCAGTGCAGCAGAGGTACGTTGTCTGTTCACTACCACCCCTATTTTAAGTTCGAGAAATAAGGATAAACTACCCAAATTTGCCTTCTCTGTGTGTATCTACCAGTTTGACTGCAGCTGCGGAGCCAGTGACATCGGGTGTACAATTAGGCAGGTTCATCATCGTATTTCGGAATATCATTCAGCATGGTTAAGCAAGGGACAAACAAGATCTATTCGTAGTTCTATTTTAGCACACCTTGTAGACACCTAGTGAGCATAAGGTTGATGTTAATACTACATTTAAAATTATTTATCGTACTCCTACTAACCTTAATTTTGCTTTACGTGTTCGTCTTCTACATACAGCTGAAGCAATAGGAATCCACCTGAAGAAGCCAAACCTGTGTGTACGGAAGAAATTCCTTCACCCACTTTCCTTACCTTAACCATCCTTATATGATTTCATAAACCGGACTACTTCGTCCCCCTCCCCTAAACCTTTAAAAATTATAAAAAATGTAATTGTCCAAATTATTTTATTTTTTCTGACTACTTCATCTTTAATTACGTGTGTTATCCTTGTAAAATTATTTTATTCTTATGACCACTTCAGCCTTAGTTACAAATTATCATTGTCCAAGTCGTTTTAATTTCCTTAACAATCTGTTGCGTAATCAAGCTTTTTCTGGAATATTACGCATATGTATTACATACATTTATTAGTATCGTTCCTTTGACTTCTGAGTGGAATAAAGTGCTTCATCAGTAAATCTCCGCATTGTCCTATTCTCTGTCAGCCTCTTTGGCTGGCGCCCACAATTGTCCATAAGTCTGTGATTTACTTCTCACACGGCCTCTTTAAGATCTCATTGAGATCCACGTTCCACTAGTCGTTTCCTATTGGGGTTCCACTCTATATTTATAGCCTGGAGAATATTGTAGCACGACGGTTTCCTCAGAACAGTGTCTGATCCATTGGCATTTTCTTCGGTATATTTCTTGAATGACCGGTTCGTTTGCAGGACTCTGAAAATCCAAAGTTCTACTCTTGGTGTAGGCACGTCTACGTATATATATATATATATACATGTATATATATATATATATGTATTGGAGTAGAGTCAGAGATGAAAAGTAAATATTTCTTGGCTCAGTATTTCTGTTTTCTAAATCTCTAAATGCTGATTTTTACCACTACATATTCCTTAAGCATTCTGTTATTATTCCACTGGTGTTATCATTAAGGTGATTACGATGATGTAAGAATAAGGCCTTTTTTCGGAACTCTTTGTAATTTAGCTTGACATTAGATTCGTTTTCTTATCAATGAATTTCTCTAGGTAACCATTTTCACAATAACAAAATAGAGCATAGTATATACATATATATGTGCGTCGGTGGCATAGTGGTTAGGACGCTCGCCGACCATGCACATGGTCCGGGGTTCGATCCCCAGCCGGCGCACTCCCTTACCTCACTAAGCCAGAAATAATGCTGGTGAAGAGGAAAGGTTGGGCATGAGTCTGGCTAGCGACCCCATCCTGTAAAATAAACACTGCTACAGAAACTTCAAGCCACTAGCTTGAAGCCCTGTGTTCCACTGGGGAACGTGAAGGAATAGAAAAAAATGTATATATACATATATATATAAAAGTAATCTCACAAATAATTTCACATAATAAAAATGATCTTACTCACTCAACTTCATTTTCTGATAAATCAATTAAATAAAATGGTTGATTAATAACACCAATCAATGGTACTCCGGTATATCGATCAAATAATCCTATGAGGATAGTGACATTGATTAGTCCACCACGATAGAAACGTATTAAACTTGTTGGATTTTCAAAAAAGTGATTAATTTGATTTAAATGTTCTACATCTGCAGCAGATTGTGCAATAGGTGGTGATGATGATGATGTGATGTGCGATGATTGAGGTGGTGGTGGGGATGGTGGTGACGAAGAAGCGGAAGGTGAAGTTGGAGGAGTGCTGGTAGTTGGTGTGGTAACAGTAGCGGCGGCAGTAGCAGGAGTAATGGATGCCTGAATTTTATCAAATCGACCTTGAGCATAATCAGCTGTTGAGTCTAAAAAAAAGCAATTATGAGGTACATCCTGCAATAAATTTTATTATTTGGAAAGAGAAAGACTCTACTAGTATTTCATTTTTAGACGTCCTCATGACCAGAAAAGAGGACGGCACAATAAGAAGAAGTGTTTATAGAAAACTTACATCAACAGGCCAGTCCACACATTTTCTCTGTTTTTGGAATAAAGCAAAAATTATTATTAATATTACTATTATTTGTCTCACTCCGGTGAAGTCAGTTTTGTCCAGGAAGCCAGTGATCTGGCTATTTTCATGCGTGTTACCTCTCAGTTGGATTATTCCAAAAGTAAATTACTTTTTATGAGAAATTAGCTAGTAGTCCTTGTCAAATGATCCCTCCAAATGTAAAAGGGTTAATTTCACTTGTATAGATAAGTCAGATTGACATGAATTCGGACTAATCACAGACATTCTAAACTATGAATACAAAATTGCAATAGACTTCAACCTTCACCTAGAATGTACTGACTACTTGACCTATTCAAATATGATTGGTCATTAGTATGTATGTACTTTTATTTTATATGACTGAGTAGTTGTCATGCTCTTTATTTTATTATTATTGTGAACCATGTTAGTTGTAAAACCGAATTTGTCTTCTAAATGCATTATTCAAATTTATCAAAATGGACTAATTGTTTTAATCAATTGGTTTGTTCGCATATGGTTCTTGTATCAGTGATGGCGGTAAAGCTGAAATTAAGTCGAGTGTTAAATAACTCGGATTTTATATTTTCTTTTTGGTCTTTCCTAGTCTCGCGATATCATGTTAATTTGTTTAGAGAACTTATTTCACCTAAACTTCTATGTAAGGAGGGAAGTTCGTCGGATTTCCGAGCATTACCATGCATAGTTAAGTAAAGGACAAGCAAAATCTATTGGTAGAGCTATTCTATCCCATCTTGTGTATACAGAACACAAGATTGATGTCAACGAGGCAGCTTTCAAAGTTATTTACCGCACACCAACAAATCTTAACTGCGCAGTAAGAGTCCGATTACTGAATTTTGCTGAGGCTGGCTGCTGGGATCCATATTAACAAGCCTTATTTATGCATCCAAAAGAAGTTAGTTCAGGCATTATCCTTACCTTGGCCATCTAGGCTTGAATGATCCTTAATTTTTGTAGAAATCTCCCTAATTTTCGTTGATATTATAGTTGCCATTATATCTTTATTAATATTATTATAATTTAAGCATCTTTAATGAACTGTAGTTCCATCGTGATCTTACTTTACAAACCAGTATTATTTAAAAAACCACTAACATTGTTATTGACTACTATTCTAGAATATTCTGTGTATATAAACATATATATATACATATATAATTGTAGAGCCGGGAAGAGGAATTTATTGAAAAGAATATTCTTTGCTCGATTATTTTCTGTTTTATAGATATCTGAATGAATATATTTGCTATATTAGGAAACAGTTATTTGGAAAAGAATGGAAAGTATATATATATATACATAATGGAACATATATTATTTGATCTTCGAGGTGGTCGTGGTGGTGGAGGGGGTGTCGTAGGCGAAACACTAGTTATTATGATTATTATTATTGTAACGGCGTAATTAAGCTCAGCTAGTTTTTTCTGGCTGGTTCCAAGCCCCTAAAACAGAGGAAGGGTTGGGAGCGGGGTTAGGGACCCTACCTTAGAAAATCAATACAGTTACTATAATAACTCCAACGTACAAGAAAAATACCTATCGTCGGTGGCATAGCGGTTAGGATGCTCGCCTGCCATGCACATGGTCCAGGGTTCGATCCTCGGCCACGGACGCACTCCTTTACCTCGCTGAGCTAGAAATAATGCTGGTGAAGAGGAAAGGTTGGGCATGAGGCTAGCAACCCTATCCTGTAAAAATAATCACCACTGCTACAGAAACTTCAAGCCACTAGCTTGACGCCCAATGTTCCACTGGGGAACGTGAAGGAAAGAAAAACAAGAAAAATACAAAGTAGTAAACTTATTCTTCATTGGAATCGAAGATGCGAAAAGTCATAGGCTGATGAAAGCCTATAGGAAACCACGTCAACCAACTGATGTGCCTTCTTTCGATGAAAGCAAAAATAAGGATGGAGACATGGAATTTCTGCACAATATATATATATATATATATGAAGTCGGGAAGACCGTCCTGGTTCCCAAAGAAATACTAAGGTACAGGATAGAATTACTAGGAATCTGTAAAAGCAGGTGGAATGAATGTGGACTTTCCAAATTGTTAACTAAAGAGTTCAACAGCTGCCTTCCTCCATGCTTGAAACCACACAGTAATTTAATAATAATTTGCTTTATTTCAGAGACAGTACTAGTGGTACAGTGTGGAATTTTCAGCACATATCTACAATATTTGCATCTAATTTTACAAACATTTAAAAGGAGTATTTCAAAAAAATAAATATAAAGACAACAACAGCAAAAAAAAGCAAACAGGATAAACACAAAATAATTATAAATGCGAAAAAGTACCAAAGTCTACCAAGGTCTAATGCAGTGTTTGTGGTGGTAGTGTGAGTAAATCTGAATAATACAAAATTTTTTAGGGTGGTGACTATGGCGTTTACAATCAATGATTGTCAGTTTAATATTGCCGAAAAGTATAGAAAATAAGATAAAACAACCACAAAACTAATAATTACATGATGGTTAATGACAGGACAATTTTGTAATACTCATAGTGCTAATATAGTCGGAACTAGTAGATACACAAAAGAAGGAATAGGGTAAAGTACAAAAAGTAAGCCAATGTTAATAATTTAGGTAGCTAAGTATGTTTAAGAAGGTGTTCACCATAGAATACGAATAAGAGAGAAATAACAGAGCCTAAAATTATGTCGTTAATAACAGAGCAAGTCATAAGTTTCACGCTTAACATTGTCTCTGTCGCTTAGAACACAGGCCAAGTATGGTATTGTTGAGTTCCTGTACTTGGTTTTACGAGCGTATAATATTTTATACTGATTTCTGGTTCTTTTTAATGAGATAGAAGGCGACAGCTGGGAATAGAGGGGTGTTGGGGTTCGGACAGTATGGTTTTAGACCATTTTTCGCATGTATTCAAATGCCTTTCTACTAATGTAGTGACGAGCTGACTGAGTTTTACACCACTAGTCCTACTAAATACCTTCAAAATTCTTCTCAGGATGGTATAGTCCTTTTTCAGTAGTCCAAGAAAGGCTAACGGGGAGCAGTAAAGTAGAATAGGTAAGATATGTGAGTTGACAAATTGTGAAAGTAGAGGTTGGGTGATTCCAGATTGTCTAAGTTTCTTAATGTAATAGGTTAGACGCAATACTTGCTTAGAAATCGTTAGGATATGAGATGTCCAAGTAAGGTCGAAAGATAGAACTAGACCGAGGTATTTTGCATTAGACTTAGTTTCAATTTTAGTCCCCTCAATGCAACAGTCTTCATGAGAACTTACTAGTGTTTGTAGATCTCGTTTATGCCTAAGGGAGAAGTACAAGTATGGAATTTTCAGCATGTGATATCGGTAGCCCAAATTTTGCAGGCCAACCATTGATATCAGGTGTGCGTCGGCAGGGAATCGAACCTCGGACCATGTGCATGGGTGGCGACAGTCCTAACCACTGTGACACCGACGCAACGAAAGACCTTAGGAATGAACCAATCAAGAACCTGTTGCTTAAGAAGTATGTCGAATGAAATGAAGATCGATTAGACACACACACACACACTGAGGAGACCGTTGAGTAACATTACACATCAGGCCATCACTTGGGTTGAACTCAAATCGAAAATGATGACTTTGGCGCTGGTCCCTGTGTGACACGGAGGAGTTCGTGTGAGTAGGAGATAAGACACTATGGGGAATCGTTGGAACAGCTAAACAGGATCGTAGAGAAAGCAGCAATGTGAAGATATCCTGTTGAAGCTATGTGTTCCACTCAGAACCCTACCTATTGAAGTAGGTAGTCACCTGGGGATCTAGTGGGTAGTGGTGATCAGTAGGGTGTAGCAAGTCAGGTGTGAGGATAATTACTACCCATGGATGACATTGGCTAGCGCTAGTCGCGCTATGTTGTGAATTAGTAGAAGATGGAATTCATGCCTTGGCCATTGGATTAGGTTCCTGTGTCCGCTGAATGGTCTACGAGCTCTCTAGCCTTACAACTAGAATATCCTGGGTTCGAACCTCGCTGGTGGTGGGCGTGTACCTCCGAAGCAAAGTCTCAAACTATTCTGACGAAAAAGCTGGCTGTCCAGTACTCCCTGTGGCTGGTTTTCCTATGGTTCTCTAACTAACCGATTTCAGCTCATGATAAAATCCTGTAACCAATCAATTAAATCATCTAGAAACCGATCTTTGAAAAACGAAGTAACTGTTTGGAAAAAATTCTTCCTGAATGATCTAATTACACAATATTTATACTTGTTCGGATGTGTCAGCTAACTTTGCAATTATTTTCCTCTTTTCTCTTAGGCTGTGTATATCATTTGTGTATCAACCGTTGACTTAACCCTTATTACTTCTCTTTGTTTCTCTCTAATTTCTAGTTTCATTGTCACTGTTTATAGTCAGTTGTATGATTACAACTTTATTTGAACGAGTTTGTCTACTGAAAGTGTTTGATGTGTATGTGATTCTTTTTTGACAGGTTTTTGAACCCATCTTGTTGGAAATATTCTGCCTGATTCAAAGGTACTTTGCATGGTTGATTTTGGTTAAATAATACTGTTGTCTGGTGTTTGTTTAACCTCGCCCAATTTACTGGTTCACTAGATTTCTGGCCTGAATACGAAAGGGCGACAATAACCCCAGAAAACTAATCAAATTGCTATAGAAACTTCACAGTGCACAAGAACTCGGTTTGTAAATCTTCTACACAATACTCTACCTTAGCAGTATAAGCAACAAGATTCACATTTTCAACACAAATGTCAAGGCAGTCAGTTAGTTCTTCTATACGGCTCAGAACGTTGCACTGCGTGCGTCAGGAAAATGATT